GCGCGTGCTGACGGGAGCGTTCACCAGCTTTATATCGCTCCGTTAAAACTGTTGCTCATGGCAGACGATAAGTAGCTGATGACACATGAGCAGCGCTACATCAGCGCTTCGGTGCATGTGAGAACCGGCCTTAAAGCGTTCGCCTTAATCTTTTTTCTTCATGTGTGTGTTCCTTTCAGCTGAGACTGCAGCCGATGCCACAAGCACTAGAGCTCGAAGTCGCTGCTTTGAAGCGTTCTTCCGCAGAACGAGCACTCACGCTAGAAATGCACGTCTCAAAGCCAGGAGCGCGGGCTAGCTCGCTCTTGTAGCCTTGGCTACAGTCTCAGCTTAAGGGTGTACAAAATATAGCAATGGTAGTGGGGGCTAAATTTTTCATTGACAGCGTAAACCAGGGTCACTGCATCTCAAAGGCAGACCGCTCTTAGGTCATATAAACAGGAACGTCAAATTTGGTTTTCGGTTTGGTCTTTGTTCCTAAATGACACCCCCAAATTGTACATGCGTCGAGGACATATAAATGTTTTATGGCCCGTATACAGAAGAATGATCTGTTGCTGAGGGGTAAAAATGAATGCTGCTATAAAACACATTTCTAACGCGATTTGAGTGACAAAAGAGTAGTTGCACAAGTAGGACCGACTGATTAAAAGATAAACGTCCACAAAGAAGTTTTTCCTTAGTGAAAACAAATGTAATATAACATGTACAATAGACATATCAGAATATATACATCACATGTATCTTATATACGCCTTCTATACAGCTGATATAATTTATATAGGTTGCGGTACATTCACTGAACAAACTACATAATACATTTCGTTTTTTTTTTTTCAATACGACATTGCCTAATAATGCTAAATTTTGACACCATACCCTATTGAAAAACCAGCAAGGATATCAAGCTGAGCAAGCTGGTTTAGCTGGTTTTTAAGCTGGTTCGAGCTGGTCTAGGTAGTAATCAAGCTGGTTCAAGCTGGTTCAAGCTGGTTCGAGCTGGCACTTCAGCTGGGCAAGCTGGTTCGAGCTGGTACCTAAGCTAGTTCAAGCTTGTCAAGCTGGTTCAAGCAGGTTCGAGCTGGCACTGCAGATGGGCAAGCTGGTACTTGAGCTGGTTTAAGCTTGTCATGCTGGTTCGAGCTGGTTCTGGATTGGGCCCAAGCTGGTTCAAGCTGGTTCAAGCTGGTCTTGCTGGGAGCGCGCGCGCCTGGGTCGGCGAGAGCTTGTCAAACTTTCATTGCCGGGAGCGAGCGCGCCAAGGTCGGCTGGGGTGGGGACGATGCCACGTCCTGTTCTTTGTCCTCTCGTTTTTGGTGGACGACCGGGCGCTTCAGGCACGCTGCAAACTTCCTTTGTGTGCGTGAAAAGAGAGAGTGTGAGTGGTAGGAACGGTGAATTTGAGACATGTTTGGCTACCCTGGGCAGATTTTCGAAGGGGCGGCTGTGTGCGCGTTGTTTGGCGACTGCTTGAACGGCGGTGCAAGCGAAGCGGGATTTAAGGAGACAGCAAGCGGCAGTCCGTTCAGCGCGGGAAGAAGTCGGATGTCCCGACTGAGGCGTCGTTTCATATCGTCGAACATCTGTGTGCTCGTGAATGACGGTGGTGCCAAGGAGTATCGCCAATGCCATCCAAACCACAGGGATTTCCTCGCCCCTGCCGATTACGCAAGAAGACGCTTTGCCCGCATTACGGGCGGGACCCAGGTTCGCTTTTCTCATCCGTGTAGTATTTTGTTTTTATTGTTATTGCCTGTTTTGGCGTGTGTCTAGTACATTTCATGTTGAGAGTTAAGCAATCTAGTTTTAATAGCATTGTTTGTTTAGCACCGAGAACCACTATCTGTGCGCCGGTTAGTACTGTGTAAACGCAGTGGATGTGTAGCATCTTAGCTCATGTGAGCAGACCGCGAACACGAAAATAATAAATTAGATGCCGAGCTGGCTTTTCTGAAGAGTTAGGCTTGTTTATCCTGTGTATTCATTTAAACTAGTTAAAAGGGTGGGGAAGAACACCAGCCTAACCAGCATGGGCAGTTTACCCAGCATGACCCAGCATTTGCCCAGCATTCATTTAGCACGACCCAGCATCCAACCAGCTCGACCAGCACGGCGAGCTGGGCATGCTGGAGCAATAACCCAGCATGAAACTGGGATGCTGGGACCAGCTGTGCTGGGACCAGCAGGGCAAGCTGGGCATGCTGGAAGCTGGAATGCTGGGATCAGTTTGTGCTGGTATTTACAATAGGGTATGTTATGATTTAGCAGAGTGTTTTAGAAAACCGTTTTACTTCTCCAATCGGTTAGATCACGATTGCCAAACGACTTGCAAGAAAGACGTCCTCGCGTAAATCGCACACACACACACACACACACACACACACACACACACACACACACACACACACACACACACACACACACACACACACACACACACACACACGCACACGCACACGCACACGCACACGCACACACACACGCACACACACACACACACACACACACACACACACGCACACACAAAAAAAAAGATTTTGCACGCATAAAAAATCGAATAAGCTAGGAATAGTCTTTGCCTATTAGAGGTCGACAAACGCTCCAGTTCTGGACATATCGTCTGGCACGCAGCCACTACAAAGTTTGCATTCTCGATGAAACAATAGCGCATGGGTGTCTGTCCACGTTCGCATTGCAAGCTGCCGCCACCGTACATCTCTAAATGCAATGCAGGCCCAGTACAAACACCAAGTCATATGGTAAAGAAGTCGCCTTCAATGATAAAAACAGAGTTCTACGCGGCCACAATTTATTATCTCATGCACTTTACGGAATCATATTAATTTTCGTTTAACACGAAGTGTCTTAGCAGCGACTCGACGTGCCGCTTCTCAAGTACGCGCAGACGATTTATTTCGCTCACAATTCCAGCCCCTTCTTTTTTTTTTTTCTTCCGCGAGCAGAATTTTATTTTATGTATAATCCGAGCGAAAGCGCATTTTTGGCACGTCATTTGGCGATCGTATCTTGATTGATTGAAGATTTTCCTAAAAACTTGTACTGAAGCTTTAAGCTGTCTTCAAATCACGATTATACTTAGCCACCACAAGCGACTATCACAACCCCCCCCCTCCCCCCCCAAAGCTTGCTTCCGTTGGAGGTCTGAAATCCGTGGTGTCCTGAAAAGTATTAGATTCTAGTGTTTTACTTTTCAGAAGTTAGTCACTACACTCTTTCCAATTTATGCATCGATATGCCATAAATTGGAACAAGTGCAGCGGCTCGTTTTGCGCTTTTTTTTTTTTTAATATCGTCGCTTACACTTATTAGCGGCACTGCTCTCGAAGGCCAATCTACCACCACAGAAGATCCGGCGTAAAAAAAAAAAAAAAAGATTGAAATGCATATACATGGTTGTCAAGAACTCACTACGGAGCGATAAAACAGTGCCAAAATGCAAAGCCGTTTTTGTTTTTCGTTTTTAAGTTTTAGTGTAGCATGGGTTGTCCCCGGCGTTTCTATTTGTGTCATAATGGCTTATTGCTGAGTGACATTTTGTTTGATATATTGTATTTCTAAGCAGTCTGGCTAGCACATCGGAGAAGATTGTTTTATCAAATTTGATTTTTGTTTCTTCTTGAGGTGTGTGTTGTTTGTTTTTTGTTGTATTTGTAAAAAGAGTATATATACGGTATGCCTTCTTCTATCAGAGTCCCGAATAGAACTATTAGTACACTAAAAAAAAGCATGACATAAATCACAACTTTGTTCATACCGGCCCAAAATCATAAATGGTTAAAACATAAACTGTCAGCGCTACAGTTCTTAAGTGGTTAGGCTTACTGCGACATTATTTTTCCGAAATCTCTATGATGAATTCTAAAGACGAGGTCACACTACTTATACATTATACAAAGGACAGAATCCAGACACCAGTCACCACGATTTCCGTGGTTCGAATGCAACGTGACAAGTTTCTCCTTGACTCGTTGCCGCGCGGCATTCGTAGCTCGGATCTCGTTGCGACTTGTGTTCGAATCTGTTTGCAGACTGTCTTTTGTATGATGTTACAAGCAGTGCGACCCCGGCTTAAAGCGAAACTGAAGCGGTTTCGTATTTGAAGAAAAAACACCTATATCGGCTTCATTTGGCCGGCAGGGTCGCGGATATCGAGATTATTTTTCTATTTGGTGCACGGAGGCTGCAGAAATTAATTTTTCAAATACCGCTGACGCCCCTCCTTCACGGGGCGTGACGTCATGATATGAGTTTTCGGAATCTCTGCTCTCGCGCATCTTCAGCGCCTGTCAAAGGTATGCACGCGCACTCTTGCTATTTTCAAAAAAGGTCGGAAAGAGACGTCACGACTGGTGTCAGTACGGAAAAATATACCTGGCAAGGCGACACGCGCGGGGCGGCCCAAAAGATCCTAGTATGTCGTCACAACTGGTCGGAAGTTTTTCATGCTTTGTCATGAGTAGTTACATCTTTGGGAAAAACGAACGTGATATTCCGATTGACGGGATCAAAATACACCAAAATTCTCCACGTTTTTTTAAGAGGTGTTTCAGCTTCGCTTTTACATAACGCAGACGTGCGGCGCTCATACCAAATCCATATCCTTCGCTACTTCTAAGACGCAGAAGGGAAAACACCACCCGCTCTTTCAAGTTAACGTGGAAGAGCAGCAAAGCACAGCAGCATCTGTTTCTAGCAACATCTGCTCGCGCGCATGTCTCCAAACAATCATTTTTGTTTTAATGATTCTATCATTTTTCTGCTTGATTGTTGTGAAGCGAGACTTTGTACCGCGCTTACGCGTATCACAAGACGGCCTGAAATACCACAGGTCGTAACAGAACTAAATAACACTCCTCTTTTCCGATTGGATTGCCTTGGCTCGGAGATGCCGTCGAGCGATCTCCGAGCCTTTTGAACGCGCAAGCATCTGCCGAGATGAGTTCCTTCGCCTTTGGTGCTCCGCGCGTTTCATGATGGCTATGAAGAAGCGGTATGGAAACTTGGAGAAGTTCACCATCTTTGTGGCGCTTTTTATTGTGTGCCTAGCTCCGTTTTTGATCCGACGTGTCTACGACGGAGGCCGTAACATCCATGGGCTTCAGTATAACCGTACACTCAACCATAGTGCTGAAGACGACTGGCAGCTCAACAAGAACCTCGGAACCAAGTTCGGCAAGGACTTTCCCTCCCACAAAAAGAAAGGTGACAAGGGGAATCAGCCAGATCTTAGCAACTCCGGCGATGAACACAGGAACGAGGGTGTTGGAGGCCACAAGGCAGGCGAGTCAGTCACGGCCGCAATGACCACAATACCACCGAACAAGGCACCAGAAGGCGGTACCCATGGCACCACAACGAGAAAAACGGAACCGTCCAGTACCAAAAAGGTGAACCCGGTAAACAGTACTAGAAAGACAAAGCCAGGTGCTGGTAAGCCACCCATTCCCAATAAGTACCTCGAAACGACCGTTAAGCCTAAAGACCCAGACAACAAGGGAACCCGCAAGGCTTCCGTGGACGTCGAAGTCAAGAAGGTCGAGTTGGTGGTTATATACGAATCTCTATGCCCGTATAGCAGACGCCTCGTTTACAGCCAGTTGCGGCCGACCTACACCCAGCTTGCGCCCTACATCAATTTAACCCTGTTACCGTTCGGCAAGGCCCACGTCAGGACAGAACGTGATGGTGCCGGCCGCAACATAACCAAGATCTCCTGCCAACACGGCGAAAGCGAGTGCGTGGGCAACAAGATTGAGACGTGCGTCCTGAGGGTGGTCAAGCAAACTGTGACTGCCGTTCAGATTGTCGCTTGCATGTCCGAAAACTCGTCTCCACACACAGCCGGCGAGAAGTGTGCTACGGCCTTCGGCGTCAAATGGAGCTTAATCGACACCTGCTTTAAGGAACACGGCGAGGAGTACCAACTTCAAGTCGCCGCAATGACCTGGAAGTACAAGAGTGAAGTGACGCGGGTTCCAATCGTCGTGATGAACGGCAAACAGGGTAACTACGTCAACTATCACGCGCAGAACGACATGATAGTTATTGTGTGCAATGAGATAAAAGCTCTGGGTAACGAGGAGCCAAAGGTTTGCCACCATGAACGGAGTCAACGCCGACGGCGCAAACGCTAAAAGGGAACTCAAATTGTGATACGTCGAAGATGACGTTAAGGTCGCGGTGCTTGCAAGAGCTTGCATGCATGCAAACTTGGAAAATATAGGACGTGGCTCAACATCGCGTCATTTTGCTATTGGTTTCTGTTTATTTGTTTTTAGTGATGCTTTGATCTTATTGGCTACCTTGTGATAATGAGATGAAGAGAGCTGTCAGTTTAGTGTTCTTTTCGATGTGTCAGTAAATATAGCGGCCACAGAGCGACCTTTCTGAAGAAGAGTTCGCATTATCCTTTTCGAATAAGAAGAAATGGGAAGAAATAGATGGCTGTGTAACCACGGAAGTGCGCCGCCATCTGTAATCTATGGTACAAAAATTGTTCAAGACAACTTCACTTCAAAAGGAGTGAACAATAGATATCTACTCCTTTCTTCATCGGCAGATTCAAGACGTGTCACTGAGTACGCATTTCTAGTGGTGTGCTTTGTTGTAAAGAAATGTGCGTGTAGCTTTCGTGACGTTTGCAGCAGTGGGAGTGAAATCTGGCAGGCGTGTCGGCAGAGTGAAGCACGAATAGATGTATGGACGAATGGATAAATGAATGAAAGGATACGTCTGACCTCGAATAGGGCGGCGGTTTGCGCCACCTAGTCGGTGTCTTCAGTTTCAACTGTTAGAATACGCACACATGCGAGGTGGGATCGAAAGGTTGCGAGTCTAGTTTCACAGGGTAAAAAGATCAGTACAGTGAAACGCGCGTAGCTGTCGACGAAGTGACCTTCATACGTCGTTAGGACAAGGGGCGTTGTTCTGGGTGAATTTGGAGCTGCGCTACACGAGTTTTGGTGACGGCAAGCACGAGCACATTGGCGGTTTCAGTATGGACTGCAAACCATGGCGAAGAGCGAACATCAATTTTACGTTAAACTTGGAAAATCTGAAACAAAAACGTTTTCAGTAAATTGGCAGGGTTATGGGGAGAAAAAAAAACCATGATTCGTGCGAGGTGTTTTGAGTGGCACTAGTGCTTTAACAATAGGAGAGCAACACTGAAAGACGAAGAGAAGTCAAGGAAACTTTCCAGTCATCTTGAATATATTTGAAACCAGGCTCTTAAATATTTGTACTGTTGCTGATATCTAGGTTGATAACGTACCGCTTGGAATTCCGACAGAACCTAACCCTCTTGTCCCCTGTAAAGAACAGACAGTGTTAAAGTTCTGGATATTTTGACATATAGGTTGTTGATAATTCTGTTCCTCTCCACTGATTCCTCAGCTTTTATTGCGAACCTTCATAACGCCTTTATCAAGGCACTAGATATTCCACGACTCTGAGTGCTCATTCAGATGACATTTTTCGATTTCTTACGCTGTAAACTCCCTCTTGGAGACATGCGGTCCTCTCTCGTTGTCCTATCTCGTGTCCTCACGCATCTCGATTAGCTCACATATCACTGACTCACCCATTGATAAATTGCGGGCTTCTCTTAATGGTGTACAGTGCAATCCTTGAGCCGCCGTTTTATTTGTGAAAAGTATACACTTCTCACAGTCGCAGTCATATACTCGTACACCACACAACAGACATGGTGTTCATCACTGCAGACATGATGAAAGAATCGTCTACGGACACGCCTGAAGCATCTTCGAAGGACGTTCGCCTCATACATACGTATCCTTCGAACTTCTTTTGCGACAGTTTTTTTGTGTGGCATATGCGAGAGGACCGTCATAGAAGAAACAAACGCGAAACTCATACAGCGTCGGCAGATTGTCTTTTGTATGATGCATTAGAGGTGAAATCGCGGCACAAAGCGTGTTATGCTTTCGCTAAATACCACTTAGAATGAATCCTCGACATTTCCAATCTGTAAAACACGTTCTAGTTTTTATCCAGACGTCCTGGAAGTCGCAGAAACCATCAGAGAAAAACGGGCAGCGTCAATCTCCTCACCTCAAAGCGCGAACAAGAAGTTACGCTATCCGGTGCCGATTCAATGCCGCCAGTGTTGATTACAGAGACGCGCGCCAGGGCTGATAAAGCACAGGACACGGGGCTGGGTTCCACACGTTAGGGAGTTAGGGCCTCCCCGAGCAGCCTGGGCTGTCGCACTTCGCATTATGATTATAATGCAATTAATTCAAACGTGCAAGCGAGCTGGACAAGAACGACAATAATAATCCCTGGAGTAAAGGAACAAAGGGGAACAAGAGGGACAAAGGACAAACACAAATCTCCAAACACAGCTAGGTGACTGGTGCGCGACCAAAAAAATCCGCCTGGTTTTTTGGTCACGCTCCAGTCACCTATCTGTATTTGAAGATTTGTGTTTGTGGTTAGTCTCCTTTGTTCTTCTTCTCCAGGGAATGGTAGTGTCATTGGCACTTCGCATGCTTAGTTAGTTCGACATCCCTGGCAGCTCGGGGTACCCGAGGTGTTGGGAACCCCTCTTCTAGAACTTTTTATTGCTAGGGTTCGGCTATTACCGACATTAGGGAGTTTTAGGATAGGGGCACCCGCGCTTTGAGGACACCTATAATGAAACTCTCTATTAGACCGATTCCCCCCACGCTTTGGGGAGACCTATAATGAAACTCTCTATCAGACCGATTCCTCCAATGCTCTTCGAGGTATTGACTCTCACCAGCCCAAATAAGTTCTCCTGAAGTGCTTGTGTTCGATTAATGAGCCGCATTTGCCTTTCGTCACAATGAGGCAATCCCCGCAATCGCATCAACACTACGGTCTCCACGACCACGTCATCACATCTTGAAATGGATAAAAAAAAAGTATTTTGGAGAATGGCGCTGAGTACGAGTAAACTTTGGTCGACCAGTAAGCTTGGGTAAAGCGAGAAACATTTCAGAGAAGTATCGTTGCTCGGTCCATTTAAACAAATCTATAGAACAGCGTATAACTGCGACGTTTATATTTTAACCTTTACACCAGACATTATTTGGCTTCCTGCCTTCATGCGGGATGTCAATTTCTCTCACATTCTGAAAAAAAAAAAAGCATTGAAAAGACACACGAGGAGAGTGTATACCCACATTCTGAAAAGTCTGGTGCGTCTACTTTCTCACAAAACACTTGGCACGGCCAATAGCTGCAATCTACGTAAGTGGCTCGGCGAATGAGAAGGCTAAAAATATTCTAATACCTTAAAAACAAAAAGGAAAAAAAAAAGAAGAAACGACTGTATTGAGAGTGACACCGAGAATGACATTTTATGTGCTTACGTCATGCTCAGTATCCCACTGAAGACCGTTTTCTTAAGTCTAAAAAACAACAACATATTCTAACCTTCGTAATTCGCGGAACTTTGTCCGTAGACTGCAGCGATTGGTTCTCCCAAATGCCGAGCGGGAATCTAGATGCACCAGATATCTTACCAGAATAAAATCCACTATTACTATTCATTAATTTTTATAGTGTCCGTCAACTAAAAAACTTCAGGGCGTGGCTTTTTTGTATCTGAAATAAAAGATACATAGATACATAGATACACATTCACACTTCGCCATTCGTGCTCGGTTCTTCGACGTGCTTTTCAGCCAAGGCCCCAGTTTGATTGGCCACGGAGTACTAATGAGATGACCGGGAGTGACCATGCCCTATAAATATGCTGTTTACTGGATCCCCCGTCAAAAAATAAAAATAAAAAAATAACACACTCGTGCTGCATAAGAATACAACAATCCCAGCACTTCAAACCACCTTCGCATTTGAACAGAAAGCCCGCGTGAATTGGTGCACGCTAAAGATCTCACTCTCTCAGAAATGGGGGTGTAAAACTTACAACCTTTGACCCACGTATAACACACCAAAATTACATTCCGACGTCCAGCCCACTGACGTCGAAGAACTTACTAAATAGTAAGTTCTTCGTATCAAAAATAGCACGTATCAAAAACTAAAAACAAAACAAAAAAGTAAGGTTTTGCAGCAGGGCCAACCAAACCTTGAGTATTTTCCTGTAGTTTTTAATGCGTATATTAGCTATTTTAATGAGTTGTATCACTCGGCTATTAAGCCGCTCGCAAAAGTTGGTATCGTCTGTTGGACGTCACTAGACTGAACGTCGAATTTTAGTTTTTGGGGTGTTATATATGGGACAGGGGGTGAAAATACTACGTTCCTGATTTCGGAGAGTGCAAGTTAGCTGTGGTACTACACCGACTAATTTTTGTATATGGAGCTGAAGCATCCGACGCCCATTGGGGCAGACTAACTTCCGGCTGTTTATAGACACACACATAACACAATTACTTTGTGACTTCCAAGGATCGCCGCGACACCTGATGCTGCTTCTTTTTCGGATACTTGTTTCGTCCCTTGTCGAGGATGTAAGTTTCTCTTGACAGCGTAACCATTGTCCTTCGGCTTTTTGAACGCACGAACACCTGCTTCTAAGCACACAGTTTCGAACGTCGTCTGCGCTTCGTGGAATAACGATGAAACATGCCCGCTTTCGCTCGTTTCTTATTGGAATGACTGTGATGTATTTGCGTCACGGACCGCCTTCAGGTATGTGCGCCTCCCTCACTAAAGACTCGACGGAACCTGAATCAAGAAATGTAGTGAGTTATCGCAGTGACGACGGGCGCCAACCACCAACGGAATACGACACCTCGTCTTCCCCTTCGGGAAAGAACCAGACTGAAATCGCGAACCCCAATGATTCCGTCGTCAAAGCAACCTACTTTGTTTCAGCTAGCGTTGTCAAGCAGGTTACGGTAGTTGTGGTCTACGAGTCGCTCTGCCCCTACAGCAGAGACTTCGTCTACGCGCAGTTGCTGCCGACCTACTCCAAGCTCTCCCCCTACATCATGCTCACCATGTTGCCCTTCGGCAAGGCGCTCGTCAGAAACGAAACTGACGGTAAGGGTCACAACGTTACCACGATCTCCTGTCACCACGGTCCAAGCGAATGCACAGGGAACCAAATCGAAACCTGCGTACTGAGAGTTGTCAAGACAACCTTAATTGCCGTCCAAATCGTCGCTTGCATGTC